TTCTCCACCAGAGCAAGAATTTTCAGAGTAAATGAAGTACTTAATGTTTCTTATTAAAGTGATTAGTACAAAAAGGCTATGACTAATGGTTTTATTACTTCTAGTCCTGAAAAGCTGTCTGTACAGGAGATGTTTAAGCAATATATCTTTCTGAATTGAGGGATGATGAAACATACATGTAATTGCTTATGTGAATCTTATATCTGTGCTAATTATGTATTTGAAGTTATTTTAAATAATTGCTTTAAAAAATTTGGCTTTGATTAGTTTGTGGCATGACCATATGTGAAGGTCAACAAATCTCCCCACAAGCAGCAATAAAACTGGACAAATGGTCTAAAACAGGCTATTCTGGCACTGTGGAAATTGATTAATAGCAGTCAGCAAACTGAGAAGTGTTTCTTTGTGTGAACAAATGAACTTTGGGTAAAAGCAGTGTGAGTCTAAGGTGTTTGTGCTTTGGGTAAGAACACTGTGAGTCTAAGGTGTTTGTGCTTTGGGTAAGAACAGTGTGAGTCTAAGGTGGTACTGTTATTTTCTTTCCTCAGCTCCATAGGCAAGGTTGGTCACCTAGGGCAGAGCAGGCTGTGAAAACCAGCAGCTTCACTGCTGCACCAAGAAGGCTTAATTGACTTGGAGAACTGTTTAGACTTTAATGGCAAGTGACTAGTGGTGAGTAGGTTGGGGGAAGGTAGGTAGGGGATCGAGTGTCTCTGACTGTATACACCTGAAGTTGTAGCTTGTTCAGCAGAAATAGTAGACAGACAGACTAGCCACAGATTTAGCAGAGACTTCTGGGAAGAGAGACAGAGAGGATGCTTGATAACTCTTTACAAACTGTAAGTTGATTAGAGAGTGCATATGCCCAGCAGGGACCAGAGTGGACCCAAGCCACTTAAACTTACCTGTCTGCTGGAGCTTGCATGCACACCCTGAGAAGATGGGAGAGGACCCAAAAAAGTCCAGGAGAGGGTAAAAGGTGGGGCAGACTTGAAAATGGCCCTAACATTGAATGCTCTCAACTCACACACAGACTAGTCAACAACACATAGTTAGGAATTTTACTGGCTTAAGGTGTTTGAGCATTTGTTGACTAGTCCTTCCCTTAGCTTTGCTATGCAGATACAGAATTGATTGCTAGAAAGTTATGTTTGGGGGCATAAAAGCAAAAAAAAAAACAAGAAGGGAGATCAATGGCCATTCATTGTGGAGACATAGAATTCATAGATTTAGTCCAGGTGAATTACTAAACAAAGACAGCAGCAACCTTTAGGGGATAAATCTGAATTGAGAATTGCTGCAATATATTACCTAAAATTTCTAATATTTAATAAAATAATAGATACAAAGAAACCAAATATACATGTAACTGAGCCACTTTGCTATGTAGCAGACATTAAACACAACTTTGTAAATCAACTATGCTTCAGTGAAATGAAAACAAAACCAAGTATAACCATAATCAAGGTGGAACAAGCAGTAAGTATCAGTTGTCTTTGGCCAGAAATGTTGGATTTAGAAGACAGAGACTTGATAGAACTAAGTGAAGTGATGTTAAAAGTCTTAGGAAAAGGATGATGACAGTGACTTGAATAAAGAATCACAAAATAATGGAAGTTATATGAGAACCAGTAGGAAATTTGGAGTTGAAGAGTACAGTACCTGAAGTGAAACATGTATTAGAGAGACTCAACTGCAGATTTGAGATGGCAGAAGAAGAACATTTGTGGGTAGGCTAAGAGAGAAACCTGACTTGGGTAGGAGAGCAGATGAAAAATGAAAAAGGCCTCAGAGACCAGTGGGGCATCTGGCACACCAACAGATATATCATCATGGGAGTCACAAAAGAATCCAGTGAAAAAGCAATAACAACAACAACAACATTTTTCAACAGTACGGGGTGAAAACTTCCCAAAGTTGATGAAAACTGTTACTTTTGGATCCAAAAAGCTAAGTGAGTTCCATGTGGAAAAATCCCAGAGATCTGCACCTATGCACATCATAGTCATTGTTGAAAGAGAGGGAAAATCTTTATTGCATAAGACAGATGACATATTAATACTATGTGTGGGAGAACAACAAGATTAATGGTTGACTTCTCATCAGAAGCAACAGAGGTCAGAGACAGTGGAGTGATGCATTTGGTGCTCAGAGAACAAAACTGTCAACCAAGATTTCTATATCTAGCAAAAGTATCCTGCACAAATAACAGCAAACTAAAGACATTTCCAAAAAACAATTTTTCTTGGTTTACAAGAAATATTAAAGATGATTTTTCAGGCAGAAAATCGTGCCAAATGGAAATTCTCAGGAGGAAATGAAGAGTGCTAGAAGTGGTGATTATGTGGGTAAATATATTATGCTCTGTACATAGATATTTTTAACATTTTAAAAAACATGCAATTGAGTCTACGGCCATACCACCCTGAATGCGTCCAATCTCATCTAAAAAACATGCAATTGTATGTTATAGCATTATATTTTTGGGTTTATACAACTATTTGAGGGCTTCCCTGGTGCCTCAGATGGTGAAGAATCTGCCTGCAATGCAGGGGACCCAGCTTCAATCCCTGGGTTGGGAAGATCCCTTAGAGAAGGGAATGACTGGCTACTGTCTCCAGTATTCTTGCTTGGAGAATTCCATGGACAGAGGAACTTGGCGGGCTACAGCCCATGGGGTCGCAAAGAGTCGGACACGACTGAGCAACTAACACTTTGACAGCAGTGTATGTTAATATATGTGATGACAATAGCACAAAGGAGGAAGAAGGAAAAGAAATGAAGCTGGGACAGTTGAATATCTGTGTGCAAAAATAAAGTTAGACCTTTATTAAAACAAAGTAACACGGTGGACCCTAGACCTAATTATTAGAGTGAAAATGATAAAACTTGTAGAAGAAAATGTAGGAGAAATCTTTGGGCTCTTGGGCTAGTCAAAGAGTTCTTAGGTATGACACCCAAAGCATGAGCTATAAAATAAAATATAGGTGAGTTGAACTTCATTAAATTTAAAAAAGCTTCAGTTTTCAAAATATGCTATCATGAAAGTGAAACTGTAAGCACACAGACTGAGAAAATATTTACAAATCATATATGTCATAAAGGTCATATAACCAGAATATGTAAAGAATTCTTGTAATTCAGTAATAAGACAAACACTACAACTAAAATATTGGCAAATACTAGAGTAGACATCTGCACTGGTGAGGGTTCCCCAGAGAAAGAGAGCCCAGTAGGGTGTGTGTGTATGTGTGTGTGTAAAAAGGCATGTATTATTATGTTACTTGCTCCCACCATCAAGGAGGCTGAGAATTCCCAATGTCTATAGGCAACAAGGTGAAGACTCCAGAGACCTGATGTGTAGTTCTGGTCCAAGCCCAAAGGCCAGAGAATCAGGAGAGTTGACAGTGTAAGTTCTGGTAGGAAACTGGGAAGGCATGAGACCCCAAAAGATCTAATATTTCAGTCTGAGTCTGAAGGCTGGCAAAGACCGATTACTCAGCTCAGTCGTCAGGTGGGAGGAGTTCCCTCTTACTCAGCCTTTTTGTTCTATTCAAATCTTTGATTAATTGCATTATGCCTACCAGTGTTAGGCTGAGCAGTCTGCTTTACTCAAGTCTACTAATTCAAATATCAGTCTCATGCAGAAACACCCCCAAAGACACACCCAAAATAGTGTTTGGCTACATGTCTGGGCACCCTGTGGCTCAGTCAACTTGACGTATAAAATTAACCATCACAACATGTTACCAATTGGGAATACAGTTGGCTAATCACATGAAAAGGTGCTCAGTATCATTATCAACATGGAATGCACAGTCCCTCAAAGCACAACAATATACCACTACATGCCCACTTGAATAGCTGTTCTCAGAAGTTACAGTATGAGGTCTTGGTGATGTGCAGAAACTCAAACCCTCATACATTGCTGGTGGGTTATAAAATGGTAGCACTTCTTTCAAAAACAGGTTTTTCTTAGAAAATTTAAATTTACAGCATAACCCACAATTTTCCTGGATATCTGTCCAAGAGAAATGAACACATATATCTGCATGAAGATCTGCATTCAGATATTCATAGAAGCATTATTATAAAAGGTGTTAATTGGAAACAGTCCAAATGTTCATCACCTGGTTGATAGATTAACAAAATGTAGTATCTTTGGTATGGGAGCAGGGATAGACTATAAATAAACTTGAGGGAATTTTGGAGGTGATGTTCTAAAAATGGGTCATGTACAGTCATGATGACTGTACAGCTGTGTAAGTTTATTTAAAATTGTTGAATTGTGTATGTACAATGGGTGAGTTATATAGGATGTACCTCAGTGATATTATTAAAAAATCATATGTATGTATATAAATAAAATGGCAAAGTAAAGTAAATACAGAAAATAATAATCAGGATATATCAAGCAGATGGAAATTCTTTGTTCAGTTCTTCAACTTGTCTATAAGTCTACAGTTAATTCAGAATTTTAACAGGTCTTAGTGTTCTGATTCTTTTGTAATATCTTTGAAAAATTGTTTTAAAACTTTTTTTTCTTAAAAATCCAAACCTCACGTGTCATTTTATCTCAGCTTTTTAGTTTTTACTTCTTTGATTGACAGTTTGCCTTGAGCAGATGATCTGCTTTTGCACTTGGCCTTCAGGACCAGTGCCCAAGTGAGGCCTTCCTACGTCCTGTATACATCTGATGTGTGTTAGAGACCACTCAGACCTGTGGAATGGCACTCTGATTTCCCCATTTCTCTCATCCGTGCAGTATAAATGTGCAAATATTCTAAGCAAGGCGCTTATGATTGGAGGACTTGGCCACAGCTGCCTTTCCCTTTGGTAATATTACTTAGGGTCAATGATCATATCTTCTCTGGGTCATTTTTGTTTGTTTTCATAAAAGAAAAAGTTAAATGCGAATATCAACACATTTGTTGAAAGCAGTAAATTAAAGTGATGTTGTATGACTCATGCTTACATATATTTATGTGCTTTATTTGAAGGTCACTCTGTGAGACTGTTGGGTCAGAAAAAGGATAATGGAAAACGTTTGGGGGGAGCACGATTGGATTTGCCGAAGATTAGGAAGAATCCACTCATAGAAATCATTTCCATCAATACTGGGTAAGCTTCTCTTGCACTTACTCATTAAATATTCAGTGTACTCTAGTTTTTTTGTTTGTTTTCCTGGCTATATGATAGAGGAAAGTAATGGAACATTTCCATGGGAAAGAAAAATAAAAAGTGAATTTTTTAAAGAATAATACCTGTATATCATTCCTTCTCAGATGTTCCCTGTACACAGTTATGCTTATATTTGCAGCAAGGGTTTTTGTCTTTATAAAGATAAAAAATTAAAAAATTAACATTATTCTAACTTCTCCTTTTTGGTTATAAATACAGATTTTATTTATCAGCTCTGCCCTTGGATAAAATCTTTTTAAGAAGAGTATTTCATTCTGTAAAATGGTTACTAAACCCGTCATCTTTGACTATTTTCAGTGGGTTTTATAGTAAATATTGTCCAAGATCCTAACCATATTCTGATTCTTAACTATCTGAAATGAAGGTTTTTCAGTGTTACTTTTATGAGCCTTAAACTGCAAATAAATACACGTTGTGACTGGATATCAAGTACTCTGAGTTCCATGTTGATCTGAAGTTCTGCCTGACTCTTAACTCCTGGGATAACCAGTTATCCTTGGTTTTATTTCCTTTTGTTTAAATTATGACTGCCTCTGATAAAGTTACTTATTTCCCACTTTGATCTATATTATCATAGGCTGATAATAAACTTAAACCTCAAGGGGTCCCTCCATTTATGCAGCTGCCTCACATTTCCCGCATATTAAACCTTCCTGCTCCTTTAAAAGTTTGTCTTCCTTCCCTCTTTTAAAAAATTGTTCTTTACCTGCCCTTTGCTTTCTTCATGCTCTTTCCCATTGAGAACAGGTGAACTTATCTTTCCTGCTTCAGCATCTTCCTGCCACTCTCCCAGCCCATGCCATCCTTTCCCCCTACACTATGGCAACTGTCTTGTCACTGGTCATCTTTGCTCTTGTCTCATCACCTTCTGGTTCATTCCGCCGCTGCGGCCAAAGAACAGGGAATGTTGAAGACATTTGATTTTTCCCTAAAAGCCCTGGGGGACTTTTAGCTGACTTTGTGAACTTGTCCAGGACTAACTCCGGCTCTCAGTGTGGAAGATTCAGAGCCCCCGCCCCCGCCCCAAGCAAGTCTTACTCCTCCTCCACTCACTCGTGGGCCGTCCTGCTGACAGTCGTGTGCCCCTTTCTGTGGGTGGCTGCTGCTTCCTCTACACCTACAGCATTCCCTGTTTGCCTTGATCATGGCACTTCTCAGAATGTATAATTTATATTTTCTACTACATCAGGAGCATCGTGAGTTTAGGAAGTATTTCAGTTATCCCTGTTACTACCTCTGACTTCAGTGTCTAGTACAAAGTGAGTCCTCAATTAATGTTGTATTTTTAAATTATTTCTAATTTATTTGGCCCTACATTTTTCAAAATTTCCCCTAGGTAGCCATTGTAAATGCATTAAGTTAAATTTCTTCCCCATAATTCAACATTTTCTTCTCTTGGACTTAGTGTTTCCTAAAATGAGGCTGTGGACTTTTTAAAGCTTGCTGGATATTTCCTTTCACTCTCTCATCCTCTTACATCTCTCGTATTACTGTATAGGATTGCCCCTTAGTAAATTAGCAAACATTCTTCTGCTATTAAGAAGATTCAGTTCATACTGTCACTCGTTGAGGTAAGAGTTTCTCAACTTCTCCGACTGCTAATCATTCTTCAGAGTCAATTGGAGCCCTTTTCCTTGTTCCCTGATGAAAGTATCTCTGTGAATGTTTGTCAACGATATCACTCTTAACATCTTTACCTTGATTTTTTTTCTTTTTAAACCTCTGATAGAACTCATAACTTTTTTTTTCATTTACATTTAAATATTTTAAGAGTTCTGTGGGTAGTTATTTCTTTCAAGTGAAAACGATCATCTCCATCAAAATCTTAAACTTTTCAAAGTTTTATGGCTTTCAAATTAAATATGGATATACAAGTTTCATTTAAATGTATTTATCAGTTAGGGAAAGGATTCCATTCATAACAACTTTCATTCCATGTGTTGGTAAATTATCAAAGTGACTGTTAAACTCTACAGTTTTACAGTTATAACTTAAAATGTAAAAGGAGTATATATTAGTTGCTTTAGCCAAGGAACAAATTGAAACTCTAAGGTCATGCTAGATTGTGGATGAGCTGAGACGACTATTCATTTGATCATATTGTGTATAATATGAGTACCTTTATTTCTTAAATAACACTTATCTTTTCCTTCTATACTCTCCCAATTTCATGTTCAATTATTCATCCTGCGCATGTTTGCTATATAGCCTGTATAAATTTGGTCCACTCTGTTCCTTGTCCCAATTTACAATGTTCTTTTTTGTTTTTGAGATGAACCTTTTCAGGTTAGCTGCCCCTTGTCCAATGTCACTCTTATTTCTAGACTCCTTGTAGACATAAATAGGCACATATTTTCTAATAGGATGATAAAGCTATTTGGATATGACTCAATACAAATGAGAATAAAATTAATCATTGCTAATGTATATATCAATGCCAAAGAATATTCAAACTACCATACAACTGTGCTCATTTCACATGCTAGCAAGGTAATGCTCAAAAATCCTTCAAACTAATAAGCTTTAGCAGTACATGAACCAAGAACTTCCAGATGTACAAGCTGGCTTTAGAAAAGACAGAAGAACCAGAGATCAAATTGCCAACATTCATTGGATCATAGAGAAAACAAGGGATTTCCAGAAAAACATCTGCTTCATTGACTACACTAAAGCCTTTGACTGTGTGGGTCACAACAAACTGTGGAAAATTCTTAAAGAGATGGGAATACCAGACCAACTTACCTGTCTCCTGAGAAATCTGTATGTGGGTCAAGAAGTAATAGTTAGAACCAGACATGGAACAGCAGACTGGTTCCAAATTGGGAAAGGAGTATGACTGAACAATGACAACAACAATGTATGTTAAGTGCTTAATATGTGCCAGACACAATTCTGTGAAATGCATATTTTCTCCTGTATTTAATCCTCACAACAGCCCAGGAGACTTTTTTATTAGATGAGGAAACTAGGTTACAGAGAAGTTTGATGACTTCACTTTGTCCTGCAGCTAGTAGGTGGCCAGGACTGTGACTTATCTACTGTTCCCATCAGATGTTTTTGTGGGTTCATAGGGACCAGGGGACAAGTGAGGGGACAGGATAATCTTTGCATTATAATAACATTTGAAATGCTATATATACATATATATATGCTACACATCAGTATCTTGCCCATGGTTTCTTGCCCGTGGTTCTGATAGCAACCCAGCCAGGAAGGAACAAGTGCTTGGGTGGTAGTGTTGGGAATGAAAGGCTAGGGTGGCAGAACTGTGAAATGGTTAAGAAGATGGGCTTTGGCATTCTTCAGTGGATTTATTTGTTACCATGGAGTCAGAAGTTCTAAAGAGTGGTTGGAGGTAGAAGTACAAGGCTGAAAAGAAGCCTTAGTTGGAGGGATGAGAGTTGAGGTCACTGAAGGTGAATGGTCAGTGCCTGTGTAGAGAAAATAAAAGAAGAGAGAGGGGTTATTTATGAGGTAGAACTAGTCAGAGGTGAAAGTTTTATGAATGTGTAATGTCTACATATCTATTACTTCTGATTCCTTAAGGAGAAGCAATACTGGGATTGTTGTTGCTCTTCAATTGCTAAGTCCTGTCCAGCTCTTTGCAAACCTATGAACTGCAGCATACAAGGCTCCCCTGTCCTTCACTATCTCCTGGACTGCTCAAACTCACGTTCACTGAGTCGGTGATGCCATCCAACCATCTCATCCTCTGTCTCCCCCTTCTCTTCCTGCCCTCAATCTTCCCCAGCATCAGGGTCTTTTCCAGTGAATTAGCTCTTCACATCAGGTGAATAAAGTATTGGAGCTTCAGCATCAGTCCTTTCAATGAATATTTAGGGTGGATTTCCTTTAGGATTGACTGGTTTGATCTCTTTGCTGTCCAAGCAACTCTTAAGAGTCTTCTCCATCACCACAGTTCAAAGACATCAGTTCTTCAATGCCCAGCCTTCTTTATGGTCCAATTCTCACATCGGTACATGACTACTGGAAAAACCATAGCTTTGACTAAACAGACCTTTGTCAGCAGAGTAAGGTCTCTGCTTTTTAACATGCTGTCTAGGTTCATCATAGCTTTCCTTCCAAGGGGCAAAGTGTCTTAATTTCATAGGTGAACCACTTTGAAAGAGTAGGAAAATTAGAAATCTTGTTAGAAATTAGTAGACTTTGCTAAACTCCTCTTTGGAGGAGTTCAGCTATAAAATGAGAGAGATGGTCTTTAGAAAGATTTTTCTGAGCTTGTTTATAGGGGCAGAGAGGTAAGGATTAGAAATATATTGACAGGAGAAACTGAACAGGAACAGTTGTGAACATAGGTAGACAGGTAGGTGCTGGGGAGAAAGATGCTTTCATAATTCCTTAGAGATAGGATTTAAGGATGTAAGTTTAATTGCAGAACTTATCACTTCATTTTTCCTAAAGATTTTCACTGATTTAGAGAAAGATGTTCAGTCCCTCCATGCTATCAGGCAAGATGGAAGGTGGAGGATATGTGTCACCTCCCTTAATGCTTTGGTTGATATATTAATGCTGTAGTCTCTTTTTGATGCCACTGACTTCAGATACAGCCAGTGCTTGATCAGAAGAACCCTCACCTTTTAGGATTTATCACTTTCCTTCTCCCCCCCTTTTCTGCCTTTGGTGGTAGTGTTCAGCTGATATTCTACCCTTGGCATTTTCTATAAATTGGAAGCCATATGCAATCTGAGATTCTAATGAAATATTTGACCAGAAATAATCTTGTTTCTGAGGATATAGTTAATGAAGTTTGAAGATTCATCCAGAGTGTTTTTTTGTTTCTGATTTTTTTTTTCTTCATTAAATTCATGGAGTGAGGTCATGGTTCTGACACACAAGAGAGTAGGAAATCTGTGGGTATTTATGTAAAGCATATCAACCAAGTGTTCTGGTCAATATAA